GAAACAGCGTGACACAGTGCTGGCACTGCAAGGAAGATATGCCATTTGTCCTAACAGGAATAGTGTCAGTTACCCACAGGGAGGGATAGGTGTCCATAGGACAAAAAAGGCCTTAAAACAACTCAGGACACTTGTGCTACACCAGTAGGTCATGGTGCATGTAACTGTCCAGCAACACTTGACAGGCTTTTTTCCCTTAAGAGATGCACCCAGTCTCAATGCCTTTATAGACACACTGATTTACATCACTGACTGAAGTGACAACAACTACAGCTGTCTTTAAAAACATGAAAAAAGGCTTATCATTTACAGGCAATTCTGATTTACAACCTAAGAAAACGTGAGGCTGTACAGGGCTCAGGTTCAACTGTTTAACAGCAACTTATTACCTATCTCATACATCATTACTGTCTTACCATACATCATGAACAACTGAATTCACATTTCAGATCACTTTAAGAATTTCACTGTTCAGTCACTGGTTTATTGTGCTCTTTTTCACCCAAGCTCAAACCACAAACATTCTTCACTAAGTTAGGGCATGGCTTGGTTTTTTCATTATAGCTAAAGCACCAAAGTTTCACCTCAACCTTTCAACTCCACCACTAATGACTCTTCCCTGATGTTAATGCAGATGTGCCCTCATGGTGAGGATGAAAACATTCTGCCACTGGTTGCTGGGAGATGAATTAGTCCTGACAGCACCACCCTTACACACACACTTACCTCCTAACAGCACTCAAGTCCACAGAAGAGAGCATTAAGTGCTACTAAAAACACTCCATGGACTGGACCTGCAGCAATGCTGGCATGGAGCCGGGGAATTCTAAGCAAGTGAACTAGTGATATTTAACAACTCTGCCTGCCCTCCCTAAGAACAGGGTTTCCCCTACATTCAAGGAACTGCCAGTGCCCAATTTCACTTTAATTAGCCCTTGACTTTTGTAGCCGGTTGCACTGGTGTTCAAGCACACAATTTATCAATTCTGCCCTTTTATTAGAAACATTTGGCTAGTAATGAAGCAGGATCAGCACCCATCCTTTTCACTTCAGAGTTGAGCTTCCTGCTCAAACAAGCAAGGACTGTCCACACTCTGTGTCCATCCTCCTGTCAAAACAAGCACCAATGCTTTGGTTCTCCTGCTGCAAACAAAGGTCCTGTAAAATGCTCAGATGATGAAGCACATTCTGGCAAATGCTACCACAGCAAGGTCACTAAACAAACAGGTGCCACACAGAGGCTGAGGATTTTACTGACAGGGTCCTGTAATTTCATCGTAAAAGACACTCAAAATTACCTGAAAGGAATTCTTGAAGTAGTTTAGATTCTGGCTATGTCTATTTTCCTCCCCAGATCTGCATAAAGGACTAGAAAGCATTTCTAAAGCTTCTACTGTCACATAGAGCAACGCTACATCCACGGTCACATCCAATCGAAAACAGTCAACACAAAACTCCTTGTTCCAAACTCTGAAATCACCAGCTGGAAGCTCCTCCTGCCTTCAGAGGGTCAGAAATCAGAGCTGTACCATCCAACCAGCTCCCTGGTTAACAATACTGTCACCACACACGATGAGATTAAAGAGTCACCAGCCTTCCAGAAGAAGTGACTGGCCCAAAAAGTCAGTCTGTGCCAACCAAGAGAGTTTGAGGCAGGATCAGTTCCTATTTTCCCTGTGCAAACCTTCCAAGTCCTTAAACCTGACAGGGAAACTGCACTCTCGTGTACTGTAAAGGCAATCCCCACACCAGCCCCTTGTTACTCCTGGCTGTTCTCTATGACCAACCATGTCCAGTTCACCGGTGATTCATCACAAAAGAACTCTCAGAAGTTGAGGAAAGCAGCAAAGCTGGTGTGAGAACAGCAAACAGAGGTACCAAATTGATTCTGTGGAAATCAGACTCATGTTAAAAGACAGCACATTCCCAGTTTCTGAAAGCTTCCTTTAATACATTTGGGAAGCCACCAGCAAGGCCATTTGAACTTCAGGCTGTAGACATGAGAACACGCAAAAGACTACCACCAAGGAGTAAGCTTTGCCTCTGCTGGAGCAGTAAAAGAACCCAGGTCAGAATTATCAGGCTGCTTCTCTCCAAAGCTGCCATGCTGTGAGCACACAAACCCAGAGGGATAAGAAAGGAACCTGCACAGGAGGGAGTGCCAACAAGCCAGAAGGCACAGGCAAACCAACACCTGTGTTCAGTCTGGAGTTATGGGAAAGGAACACTTCTAAAGCTACTTCTCTCTCATATGGTATTTATGTCCAGCAGTGAGAAGCATCCAGGTCAGGAAGGTGGGAAGCACTCCCTGCACAAACACCACCCAAACATTCCACATAGTAACAAAGCTCTGAGAAAATCACCCGACAGTGTCACCTGTACAGAAAACAAGCTGCAGCGATACCTACCTGCTCACGAGACAGGGAACAAGCAGCAGACTTCAGGACACAGCCACAAATCAATGTGCATGCTACCAACCAACACACTTCCATTCTGTGGAAAAGCCAAATCTCCGAAATACCATCGCTTTCTCATGGCCAAAAAACAGATAGGAAGAGAACATCTTGAGGTTACTCTTCCTGCAGGAGCATTTGAACAGACAGCTTCCCTTCCTCCTCCCCCAGGAGGGAGAGTCATTTGCTCTGTACACAAATTAGTTCAGTTTTCCCAAAGCCATGGAAAAACACACAGAACAGAGAGAGCATCACCAAACCTGCGAAAGAGCAAAGACGAGCACGTGTATTTGGCAACTCTGCATCCAGGCCAAAGCAGTTCCTGAAAATCCTTACAGCAACAGAATTGAGAATTTCTCCATTTCTTCTCAAAGACCTGCACAACACCTAAAGAAACAAACTGACACAAAACTACTTCATGTATGTCTCTAGACTCAATGTTTCCCCATGTATCAGTCCAGTTTCAAACGTGCTTCCTTCCAGCCAATATCAGGGATAGAAACCAGCCTCTTCCTCGCACGTATTAAACGGGAACCGCAATCCTTTGCTTCGCAGTCTAACCCGTGTGTCTGGATAATCACCCTAAAACAACTGCTCCCCAGGAGTGGGCTGCTGGCCAGCCAGAGGCTTTACAGAGCGCTGCGTAACACGCCGCAGTTTCGGCTCTGCGGGTCAGAAGGCCAAGGCGGTTCAGAGGTACACACTGACCCACCACAGCACTCGCGCTGGGAGACAGCGGCGGCGGAACCACCGCGGCAGAAGCCTGAGGAGGAACAAAACACAGAGCCCAGAATCATTCTTTACAGTTAATGCACCACTGGTGTGCCTAGAAACACACGTTTTTCTGGGGTCTGCAGTCTGGTGCTCCACAATCGGCTCAGCACAACAAGCAGCTCACGTCACACACCACAGGCAACAACCTGAGCAACGCAGAACTGACCAGGGTGAATGGTTGGTAGAGCCACTTCCCATCTCATCTGGCACACAACCACAGTCTCTGGCTTTGCATCCATCTTCCTCTCCACTCACCATAAATTCAGAGCACAGACATTCAAGGAAAACACCACATGCTATGAATGGAATACTGCTTAGAATAAAAATAGCATCCTTCGAGTTTCTTTGGACCTACAAAGCCTCAAACCTCTCATAAATCTGCATTTAGAACACAGCAGCAATTCATCAATAAAGAACTGGCTTTAATGCTGTTTGTGGCATCACAGAATTGATTTGTACAAACAACAATCTGTGACATTTATGGGTAACTGCTTGAAACTTGGCCATTCTAAGTCACACTTTCATCAGCTGAGGATCTATCACGCAGGTCACAAGTTCAGCATTGACTAATTTACTCATTTCTGAATGGGCCAAACCCCCACATGTCTGACAGAAGTGAACAGAGCACTTTTTTAGCAGTAGTACTCAGACACTAGCACTTGAGGAACTGCTAAAAACACGACCTTAGCCAGTTACATAAAACACAAGTACCTTATTCCCATCACTTGAAGGAATCAGGACATCAGTGTCACCGACTGCACTGCTCCAATGAGGCCAAGCAGGATGTCACTCCTGACACTCAGATCATCCAGGCCAAAACAACTGAGTCTGAGCAGTGTCCAGTAGCTGATTCTGTCTGGTACTACCTTCTGCTGGCAGCCAGCCCGAGGTGTGTGTGCAAGGGCAGCTCCATACCTCCCACCCCGGAGACTGGACCTTAGAGGTCCTTACTCCTGATTTTTAAGGTTGTTCATGAACATACACGTGGGCAGAGGAAGCAATCTGATCGACTCTAGATGAGCAGTCTGTTAATATAAGGCTGTCTCATCATTTAGCACGTGTAGTTTAAGGCTGCTTGAAACATGAAAGCAAGCTGGCACAGAAAACTTGTATTTGCACTGATGGATAATGAACTTTTCTCTATACATGCTTTAAAGGATCAACCCTAACCATTTGGGTTGATGTACTGTTTCTGGTGCCCACAGAAACTCTGAACATGCTATGACATCCTACTTGTTTCCAAGAGCCTACTCTCAAGGAAAAGGGGATATTTACTAATTTATGCTAAAAGGTAAGCAGCATCAGCTGCTTGGCAAGATGAAGAGTCCCTTCCCCACCCCAAATCAGCACTCCATCCGAGTCCATGTTCCCAACACCAAAGGCTTTTTGTATTGGTTTGCACCTTTTTTTCAGGGAAGCATTTAACTGTCTTCAGACCACAGAGAAAGTCAAGAATCAGAAAATGAAAGCTTTCCAAATCAAACCTGCATTAAGTCCAAAGGAACAGGCACACCAACATATTTCACAGCATATGCCGTGTCCAACCCAAACACTAAGTCCTCAGATCCGGTACCAAGAGGATCCCAATGTGAAATCAAAAGACAGTAACACGGAACTGTGTATCTAATTCCAGACACCTGTAGTTTAATCACATTTCACAACAAGGCAAGCACTGTTGTGATCCATTTGAACTTGAATAAACACAGTTATCACCAGTTTTGGCAAGTCAACACACTAATATCTTCAATCAATTCTGTGAACAACGAAGCCAAGTTTTCCTTTTCAGCAATTTTATTCTAATACGAAGCATGAAGAAACAAGCACCCAAATAACTGCAATAGAGTATGAAACTTTAATAAAAGTTGTTTAAAAAACAAAGAGCAAAGTTTTAAAAATAAACTGAAAGACTTGACTCCTAATCACACATCTTTCTGACATCAGCAAGAGTACTTTCAGACTTTCAGGCAAAAAAAAAACCCAACAAAAAAAGAAACAAAGATCTGCTGTTGAAACATTACTCCCGAAGACTGTTGAAACGCATAACATGAAGCTTCAGAGACAGACAGTTTTATTAACAGGAGGCTTAATTTTAAACAGTATATACAAATCACATGACTTTTCCAAAGTTGGGACCACCTAGTAACCTGTCAGAAAAAAACGACTCTAATGAATTACAGAAGCATCTGTGTAATGCGACCACCTCTTTATTGAAGTACACCTTTGTACAATCCTTCCAGACTCCTGTACTGGGAACTCCTCTCGGGATGCAGCGCTGCACAGGTTTGCAAGTCTCTCCTACACACCACAGGAATAAAACTGTTGCCACTTGCACCTCTCAATTTTGCCTGCCCATACACTTCAGTGTTCCATGATATGCAACACCAAAAGGCACTGATTTTCTTTGTCAAACGAAACCCAAACATTTTGAAGTTTGCTATGTTTAAGTACAATGATTTGCAGGGAATTGCAGGATTTTTTTTTTTCAGGCAATGCCCAAGTCTTAAAATTTATCATAAACCAAGTAAGGAAGAACCAAAAAAAATCTACTTCCTTTCCATTTCTGTTTTTTCCAAGGAAGATTTTACTGCACAACAAAGAAAATGGCAACTCTTTACAAACTTGGAATACAACAGCTCAACTTTATTGCAAAAATATATAGTAAACTCAGTATTTTCATCTTTTGGAGAAAAATAAATTTCATCTCTGAATTCACCCATAGCAGTTATTCATAACAGTTGCTGAAGAAAAAAGTTTCTTTCATTTATAACCTAATTCAAAACTTGATCTGGACTCCAATCTTCTACTAATAATCACCACTTTGGTTCTCTTAGCAGAGACTATGTAAGGAGCTCAAGAGACATGTAAGAAATACAACATCAATATCCAACTAGTGTCAAAGATCCTATCCCAACTGATTGGTGTAATCCTAACAAATCAAGCTACTTAAACAATAATTATCGTTTTCAAGTTGTTACTTCTACTGCAAATGTTTTAAGTGTACTATAAAACTCATTATGTTTGAGGTTAGCTATACTCGTGGCAAAAGTCTTATTCTGCACAGTTATAATTGCAATATATAAATAACTAAAGGTTATTCCACAAAGAACAGCTTGAATTTTACAGAACGATTCTGCTCATACTCATAGGAATTAGTTTGGTAGACACATCAGCAAAGGGCATAATTCAACTGTTCATACAGTGAGAATCTTAGAAAAAATAAAGATACATACACAAAACAATCTGTGTACACTGAGAATTCATTCAGTTGCAAAGTAAAATCAGGACTTGAAACAAAGCTTTGACCTGTAAACAAAGCAAATTCAGCCAGCTTTTAACCAAATCTAGAAATAGCTACCTATTTTACAAAGGCTTACAAGAGCACCCACTGAAGAGCTTCACTGACTTCATCTACTTCCCTTATCCAGAACTATGCCAAGCCACCCTTGGTTCCTCGATAAGCACTGTGTCCAGCAGAGTTTACCCGACTTTAGGATGGATAAGAATCTGTCCAGCTCCTCCACATATCTGCACGGTGAAATGCACTGCACAGCTCTCCTCGCAGCGCTTCCCACAGCACGGCTAACCCAGTGCTCCAGCTTAGCAAAACCAATCTGCTTTACAATTGAAACAATCCACAGGTTCTACCCTGGAAATACTATAAAAACCAATCCAGATGCATTTATCACAGCACTATGAATATCTATTCTACAACTACTTCAGGTTAACAGCTACCCTAGAACAAGTTTTACTTTCCTGGAGCCTATAGGCCTGTCATTTAAATCAACAACAGCTGCCATAGCTTCATCCCGAGACTCAAATGCAACCATTGCTTCTCCAGTGGGCATGCCTTTCTCATTGTATTTTAAGCACACTGAACCAGGGATCACTTGGTAACCGTAAAAGAAATCCAAAATTTCATCCACCGAAACAGTAAAGGGCATATTTTGCACTTTAATGACAGTTGGCCCCGGCTTCCCAGACCCCGTTCCAAAACCTGGGGGGCCGCTAATATGGATATTTCCTGGTCCAGGTCCAAACCCTGGAGGTCCACTTAAATGTCCAAGACCACTAGCAATTCCTGGAGGACCAGCACCAAAGGCAGGGGGCCCACTCAGATTGCCAGGACCATTGCCAAACGCCTGAGGACCCCCCGCAAAACCTGCCGGTCCCCCCAGATTAGCAGGACCACCTGCAAACCCTGGCACCTCGATCCCGGCGCCGGGCAAACCACCCGCTGCGACCGCAGGGATTCCGGGTCTAGAGTCGGGAAAGGCACCAATCCCAGGGGGTGGCAGGGGGGGACCAAACGTGCCAGAGCCGCTGAAGTTACCGGGGAAATTGAACGGAGGACCATTGTTAGCTTCCTTAGCATTCCCCCCCAGGAAGGCATGCTCGTCCCCCCCGGGGCCCTGCGCTCCTGGCACAGCCGCGCTGCCTTGGATGGGGATTTTCAGGATCTTTTTCCCCTGGGCTGGTGGGTTTCTCTCAATATCTCTCATTTCTTCTACAGTTATCAAACGCAAATTAACATCTCTTCCGTTCAGCTTTTTACGGTGCAAACGTTCTGCCTTACGAGCATCGTCCTCCGCTTTGAACTGCACCAGTGCTTGTCCTAGGCCCTGCCCGTTAGTATCAACGAGGATTTGGACCGAACCTTCTTCTACCGCCAGTCCCTCCAGAAACTGCAGGATCTCCATCTTTGTTATGTTGTATGGGATATTAGATATATGTGCACACACTTTTGGCAAGCCTGGCTCCCCCTCAGCATTCATCAGCATTTCTCTCTGGTCATAGCTGAAGTTTTGCAACCTTTTACGGATCAGATCTATCTTTTCTAACATTGCCTTCTTGGTAATCGGATGGACCTGAATGAAGCGGTTTCCTATGTACTGCTTATGGTGGCACAAAGCCGCTTTGTAGTCGGCTTCATTCCTGAACTCCACAAAACCCTCGCCAATTGCCTTCCCGTTAGGTCCATAGGCTATATAAATGCTGTCTTCAACTATATCCAGCTTCTTAAAAAAATCTATCACATGTTTGTTCTCTGACTCAAAGGGAAGCCCTTTCAAATAGACACAGAACCCGTGCTCATGGGGAGACCTCGACCGCGACCTTTTCTGTCCACCAGGAGATTTGGACCTAGGATGAGCCTGAGGAGGAGGAGGATGTGCCTGCCCAGAGGGACCCATGGTTTGCTTGAAAGTTATGTGGCCTCCAGCAGCCACCCACTGTCTCTCTGTAGCAGGACTAACTTCAACATAGCGCTGAATCATCAGCATTCTGTTTCGCTTCAATGCTTCAAATGTATCTTGAGGAGAAAAAAACTTAACTAGTCCATTTCCATTATTTCGACCTACATGATCCTTCAGCATATGGACTGCATCCACACGGAGCCCAAGGAAAAAGTCTTTCACATCAGATTCAGTTGCAGAAAAGGGCATCCCATGAACGCTGACATACAAATCATCTGGATTGATTGGAATTGGCTTGACACTACCTTGAGAATTCATCTGGATAGGATTTACAGGATTCATGGGACCAATAAACAATGGATTCAAGCCGCTGTTCATATTGACTGCTGCTCCAGACCCATTCATTCCAGTGGG